AGGGACATCTATCACCGTTGCACTCACGTCTCGCACAAGAGAGCCGCATGCTTAGAAAGCCATGTAAAATTAATGCAAGTTCAACTTTTAAAAAAACATGTCTCGAAACTTTCTGGCGGTTTTTCCCCATCCCACTGCATCTCATGTTTTTAAATGAAGAAAGTACTCTTTGTGATTGGTTTTCGGTCCTTTGTATTAAACTATACATACATACATGATGCTGTTTTGCTTCTAATCATTTAAGCATCTTAATTATATATGGTTTATAAGCATTAATTAAAGAATTAAATTATGCACTTTTTTCCAAAGATAGTGGTGTTATTTTATTGCTTTGAATAAACGTGCATTAGTGATATTTTGCTTGATGCGCCCTCTTGTGGCCTCAGGAGAGAAGTCAAAAGCTTTTTCCCTCTAACTGAAATTATGCCTTTTAAATTCGAATATACATAATATTTAAGTACAAAATTCAAATTTAGATTTTCAGCCATTTTGACAGCCCTAGCATAGAGTAAGATTTGTGGAAACGTAAATGATAAAAATCAGGCTGCGCCAAAATTAGTGAAATGCGAAATGGTGAAAAGTATATTTTGGTTTAAGACAAAAAAATAGGCAGGTCACAGCAGTTCATTGATGCAAGTCAGGCTGACCTGAGAGGTGACCTGGTGCTGGTCAAAGTGTGAGAGGTGCTGGAATTTAGAGAAAATGTCTTCAGCGGTGGGAAAAGCCTCTGGTTTACTCCTCTTCCTCTTCTGACCTTCCTCACCTCCTGAGGACAGAAAACAAAAGACAAAGATCAATGAATAGATAGCACACATGAGAGAGAGAGAGAGAGAGAGAGAGAGAGAGAGAGAGAGCGAGCCCTTAGAGGATTTCAATCAGATGAAATACGGAGATTGTTATTGAAGTATAAAGTGCTCTCATCCAGCATCCATCAGTCAACCACTGTCTGAGGCCACTCCGTCAAAAGCTTTTTCAGATTAAAAGCTCCTGGACCGGTGACTTATTCACGCACAGAGTTGCCACGGGGTGACGGGTTAGTGTTTTTGTCGTGCTTGAAATATTAATAACTGTGGGTTGAGCCATTTAATGTCTCAGGCTGCTGCGAGGGAAATAATGGGATGTTCAATTACACCTCCATTAAAAAATGAAAGCAAATGCAGGGCTGCACTTTCTGACCCAGTCGGCAGCTAAGCTTGAATATAATAGACCATGATTGCAAATTAGCATCGAGATGGGGCTACAGCTATAAATATTCAATGACAGCAACAGAGGTTCAGTGCTATGAAAGGCTGTTAATAATGGAGAAAAAATGGGAAAAAAAGACTAATGTAATTGAGCATTAATGATGAACGGTCTCTATTCGGCCCTCGAGGAGAGACAGCGATCTAAATGTGTCACTCGGAGCCGAAAGGTGAAGCTAAAGCACACAACTGCAGTCAAGACTGATTGTGACTGAAAATGATTTGTGTTACATACCACAGCAATAAAAGAGAGCTTAAAGATCTCAGTAAACAATAGTTTGGTTGCTAAAAAGCTGCAAAAAGATTCTTCAAATAAGCGAAATTTTGTGTTTGATAGACAAAACAACAGCATACTGGTTTCTAGCAACATGAGGGTTAATGAATGACTTTGATTCCTTTGCAAATAAATTTCAAGAGGAATGAGTAATACAGTCATCCAAATCTGTCGGTTTGAGTTGTGTTCATCGCCGCACCTGTCTCTGCTGTACTCTTGCGGTTGAGAACCTTCAGGATGTCTTTGGTGATCTTCTTGATGGCGTGGCGAGCTTCATCTCGCTGTTTGCCAACCCCATAGAGAACCACCAGACGCTGGTTACACTCGTGACTTGCGCTCTCCTCCTGAAAAACAACCAGTTTAGTCACAATATTAGTCACATACACTACAATTCAAATTTTTTAAAGGGTGGTGGGGGGGGGGTCTAATGCTATTTCATGCATTCCGAGTTATCCACACTGTTAAAGAGTTGGATCGTCATGCTAAACATGGCCAAAGTTTCAAAAAACGATTTGGATATATGATATATCACACACACATCAACCATCGGCAGTGCTGCACAGGACTTGCTCAAGAAAAATGTCTCTAAAGGAGTGTGTTTTTGGATGTGAGGGAAAGATAATCTTGTTCTGCTTCCCAAAGAACCCAGCATTACGTGAACAGTGGATGCAGTTTGTTTTCCCAGGGTGAGCAACGGATTTAAGGCACTGGATTTGCACATAGTTTGATACCGAAAGATGGAGCTGTCCCAGCGATAAAAGATCGCGGTCGTGAGTCGGAACCGCAGACGGTAAGTGAAACCGCATCAAATTTCTGGGTTTTGTGCAAGTGCTCGTGACTAGTGGTCGACCGATATATTGCCAAGGCCGATATATCGGCTGATATTTGGCATTTTTCAAATATCGGCATTGGCCGATAAGTTTTCCTGTTTGGCCAATGCGTTCGACGCGGGACTTTTATTTTGACGGCGCTGAGAGCGGCAGCGCTTGCGCACACGGTGCTCACATTCTCCATCTTGTTTGCCGTCGTCATTAACAGTTCTGTCTAATACGGATAGTAGTCTGTCTAATAATCAGATAGAACTGTTAAACAAAGGAATTAAAATATATACAAAAAGTATTATAACGATTGCTTTTATATTATTAGTAATAGAAAGGCAAACATTATAATACTTTCTTGTTTGCCGTCAGCATTCAGCAAATACGCATTTACATCATTTAAACAAATCAATTTTAGTCAGTTATTGCGCTCCTATTTCATTGAGCTCTGTCTGTTTGGCGCGCATGCGCGTGGCGGCGCTCGTTCTAAATGAAGTCTGTGGAGTTTAGCGGAGAATCGCAAAGCAAAAGCTCATGCACTTCTGACAGCAAAATGGAAATATTTCCATGGCTTTTTTAACATTTACAGATGGGAGAATATACCTGTGAAATGTAAGTTATGCATTAAGGAAAACAACACATCTCAAACACATTAAACAGCGCGTCTCTGTCAGCCTCACACGCAACCTTTCTGTCAGAGCAAGTGCGAGCCGCTTTGAACTGAAACTATAAACTACAGGCTACTAGGAGAGAAATAAAACGCAGAAATTATTTAAATGCAAAAGCAAAAAAAAAACAACGCTCTGATTAGTTGAACTCTTCATCTTTTTCTGTTGCTTGTTTTGAATACTGCGCGTGGACAGAGGCGTCACTAGATTTTTGCGTAGTTTAGAGTGACAAATCGTACCAGCGTACTTTGAGGACAAAATGTGTAGCCGCTACACAAAATACGTACAAGTTGGCAGGTCTGTATTAATAAGCAGCAAATTAGGAGTTCATTGAGGCAAAAGCTGCAGTCCGTATGTTTTGCCTCTTTGTCGCCATCTCTGTTTGAAAACCTGCAATTGCAGCTGTGTGCGGAATTATCTTCCTTGCGTGGGTTGTGCACCGGCACGGCTCCAGCGCGGATGAATCTGTTTTGAGGAGT